TGAGCCAGCAAACCCAGTGAAATCCTTTTCTCAAAGACCACTCATTAGCTAATGATTCCTATTACATTTGTGAGGCTAAAGATAATTACACATGAACCTCCAGCTTATTTTACTTTACTGCCTTGGTAAATTCGGGCATTATTAAGAAGCAGTGCAACATCACAAAAAGCATATTCTTTCACTCCAAAAGGAGAGCCAAAACAAGACCATAAAAATTCAGAACAAATCAAAGGGGAAATTATTTAACTATCAAGCAAAAAGCACCTGATAGCATTTCACAGGAGTAAATCTCACTTGATTTTCATAAAAACCCAACAAGGATTAGGAATGAGGCTTAAAGCATGACTACTCGGAGCGGGAAAGGCAGGACCCTGAACTCAGCTCTGGCCCGTCTCCAAGGCCATGGTCTGCCATGCACTGTGTGCCTTAACTAAACAGACGCACACTTTCAGTACAAACCACTAAGGAAAATGTATCAAATATATGAACATGTAATTTATTAGACATAACCTAAACTATTAACCTTATAAAATCCAACTAGAAGATTTCCTCTGGTATATTCACAATATGTACGTCTTGATTTCATTTGCCCTATTTGTTGACTTTAAAAAATTTTAAAAGCTGGATTTGGGGGATTCCTGCCTGAAATTCCAGCATTGAGGAAGCTGAGGCAGAAGGAAAGACAGATGTGATGCATAAACTGGTATCCCAGCACTCAGGAAGTTCCCCTTGAGCTGGAAGGCAGGCTGCATTACATCATGAGCTCTAGGCCACACTGGACTATAGAGTGATACCCTGGCTCAAAAAACAAACAAAAGATAGCAATGCCAGCAGGTGCAGGCAAGAGAATCCAAGGCCACCTTGGCTAGACAGCAAATTTCGGGCCAGCCCAGGTTACACGAGAACCTGTCTCAAAACAAGAAAGACTCTCAAATTAGTTTCAGGAAATAAAAGTACCAAAATATAATTCAAAATTAGGTATTATATCACTTCTTCACAGGAAACATTTTTTTTTCACATATATTCTCTCCATTAATCCCCACAAGAAATCCACTGAAATAAGACAAAAGTCATTTTACAGAGAACAAACTAAGGTTCTCTCAGGAGCTAAACAGACAAGCAGACTACAAGAAGTCGAACCTGGGGCTAGAGAGACTGCTCAGTGGTTAGAAGCAGCTGCTGCTCTTGCAGAGGACCCCAGTTTGATTCCCAGCATGCACATGGTCCCTCACACCACATGCAGCTGCAGCTGCAGGGGTTCTGGCATCCACTGTAAGTCACATGTCCACACATACAAGCAAAACATTCATACACATATAATAGAAATAAATGTTAATAAAAACAACTTGAACCTAGGACCATAATGCCATAACCAAAAACTACAAGATAACTTTGTGTGTTCATGGGGGGGGGGGGGTTCAAGACAAGGTTTCTCTGTGTAACCCTGGCTGTTCTAGAACTCACTCTGTAGACCAGGCTGACCTTGAACTCAGAGATCTACCTGCATCTGCCTCCCAAGTGCTGGGATTAAAGACATGTGCTACCACACAGCCTAACAAGATAACTTCTTGTGGGAAATATACAAGGCTGTGGAGTGATAAAAAAACAAGCCAAGATCTAAAAAGGAAACCTAGGAACAATCCCCAGAGCAGAGTGAGAGGACAGAACCAGGCCCTGTAAGTTAGCCTTTGCTGTCCACACGCACCACCAAGTAAAGGCAAACACACACACACTCATACATCACAACATGTTATACGTACATTTTAGAAAATTTTTAAATAAAATAAAAAAAATGGAAAAACAAAGGTTAATAAGAGGGGTAGTTAGAAAAGCAAAGGTCACAAAATGTAAACAGATGTCTACTTTGAATACATAGCTGCTATGTTACATGACACAGGACTAACCAGTCTAACTGACAATATCCTGGGGCTGAAGAGACGGCTCAATGAATAAGAGCTCTTGGAGAGCACCCAGATTCAGTTTCCAACAGCACCTGGCAGCTCACAGTTGACTTAACTCCCGTTCCAGGAGACCCAATGCCCTCTTCTGGTCTCCAAGTGTACCTTCACACATGGTGCACAAGGCAGACAAAACTCTCATATAAATAAAATAAAAATAAATACATCTTTAAAACTAAAAAAAAAAAAAAAATCCTTATTCCTTTACATAGTACATCATATCTGAAATCATTTTAACTTCTTTTTCTTTTAAATTTCATTACATGAAATATGAAAAGGGAACAGAAGGGAAAGTAAAAAATGTAACACAGCTGTTCTGTTTAGTTGTAGAATTTTTCATAAGAACCAATTTTACACTGTTAAAATTTCCTTCTAAAAAGTTCTTTAAAAAAAAAAAAAAAAGTTCTTTATGGGCTAGGCAGTGGTGGCGCACGCCTTTAATCCCAGCACTTGGGAGGCAGAGGCAGGCGGATTTCTGAGTTGGAGGCCAGCCTGGTCTACAGAGTGAGTTCGAGGACAACCAGGGCTACATAGAGAAACCCTGTCTCAAAAAAAAACAAAAGCAAAAACAAAAAAAAAGTTCTTTATGTATATTCATATACATAAAATAAATAATTTCAAAAAAAAAGAAATCTGATAAAAAGGAATTAAGCAAAGCACTGTGATGTGGATGCTTGTTTATAAGAACTTTTATCAATCTGTGTATGAGGAGATGCTAGAGATGTCAGAGAACAACTCATCAGAGCCGGTGCCCACCGTCTCCATCACAAGCTCTGAGCACTGAGCCCATGTCCTTGGCCTTAGTGGCTGTCATGCCCTTTGTCCACGGAGCCACCTCCACAGGCACCCTTACTTTGACTTTTTTCTCTCTTGAGACACAGTGTCCTCTAGCTCAGCCCGTCCACACTATGTAGCCGAGGATGACCTGTAACTGCTGCTCCTTCTGTCTCCACATCCCACTTGCTGAGGTTAAAGGCATGAGCCATAGCCAGCTAAAATAATACTGTTTTAACAAAAATACAAACTAGTACTTAAAAATCAAGAAAAAAAATGGAGATTTAGCAAGGAATATAGTCTATTTCCACCTCAAAAGCATTAATTACACCAAGCTTTAAGCCAATATCTCAAATATTTTTTTAATTACCTTTAAAGAGCATTAAAGCACACATAAAAGCACATATTAAAGTACATATATATAAGTTAATGACTTATAGGAATTCACAACAATAAATATAAATGAACTCAGAAGAATGTTTATTCCCTTACTGAACCAGAATCACACAAAAGGAAAGCATGGCGTCGTAAGTGGCCGGGCCAGCAGAGAATTTCCTTTTCTGTTTCTATGCAGTCTCTATTATCTTCCTCTGAATATAACTGTGTAAAACGCTCCAAATTTGGGTGGTGAGATGGCTCAAGTTGTAAAGGTACTTACCATGAAGCCTGAGAACCCGAGTTCAAAAGCTGCCCTCTGATTTCCATATGCACACCATGACACATATGCATGCGCGCGCACACACACACATACACACACACACAAATATAACTTCAGAGCTTCTGTACTCCAAAAAGTATAATTAATATATATACATATCATCCAAAATGAAATGTTATAAACAGGAGAATTATTTTAACAAAAGCAATGACATACAAAAACCAAAGAAACAGGCAGTTCTAATCTTATTCTCCAAGTCATATAATATAGAAACGGATTTAAAGAAGATAAACATTTATAATCTTTTTAATTTATGAGATGGTTCATAGCTGACTCAACCAAGCTATGGGTTAGTATTAGTCTAATCCATACTCACTGAACAAATATGTATTTACATAATCATGATTATCATTACTAGGGTTCCATTATCCACAGACAACTGCAGAAATGTCTAAAGGGATATTTTAAAGTTCCCTAGCAAAGTTTTCACACAAATTGAAGTCAGCAAATGGCTGGAAACAGATGTCAGCACAGTGGCCCTAGAGGAAGGTGATGGAGGAATGCACTTACGTTTCAAAACACCGATCCACATTGTCAGACATCAAAAGCAGCATGCATAGCTGTTCCAGAGCTATCAGCTGCATGTCCCTCTCATCTCCCTGCCCCATCTGCAGCCATTCCAGCAACGTATCAGGATCCACATCTGCCATGGTCTTTTACAATGCCCCTTTGCCTAAATTGAAAAATGGAAAAGGGGTTTTCAAACATTTGCTGTGTATAGACTTTTTTCTTGTCCATCTGCTAGAACCAAGTTTCTGTAAGGTCCTCAAGATAAACACACACACAAAGACAGACAGACGTGTGTGTGTGTGTGTGTGTGTGTACATACAGAGCTATTCTGATTTCCATATTGCACTGTGACATGCACACGCACATACAAAATAAACAAATAAACATAATTTTTTAAAAAAAACCTTCCAAACTGCAAAGTATTACTTCAAAAAGTATGCTATATATGCAGCAGTTTTGGACTTCCCTCTACTTCCTGGGTTTAATGCAGATACACTAAACACAAAACAATTTAACACAGGACTATATACCGAAGGACTATATACCGATTAGTTCGCTAGTTAACTAGAAACCAGAGCTGTCTTGGTCAAACACTATGAAACAAGTTTTGGATCCCAGTGTTGTTATCACAAATGTCTGTGCCAAAAGGCAAAGAACATCTACAAAAAAGTTCTTTTACCAGTGAACTTCTCCCTGCAACCTGCCCCCAAACCTCGCCAAAAATCGGGGCTTCAGATCCGGGTCAGATCCAGCAATTTTAAAGACCACACTTTCCGATTCAATTCCCCTTCGAAGTGAATTTCTCTTCTCACAAAGTTTGAGTTCTCAAACTTATTCCTAAATATGTTCAACTACAAATAGTAATTAGATATGAAATCTGCCTATTCGAGGAAATACTGATAAGAACTTCTGGCAATCTTGGCAAATGTTCTTAAAACTTTTTTTTGTTTTTAGCTTTTGATGCTAAAGTAAATGCATCTAACAGGTTCCCCCCGCCCCCCCCCCCCCCCCCAATGAAATTCTTTCCCGGTTCCCACAGGATGGAGCAGTTAGTTTTTATTTAAAAAAAAAAAAATCGAGAAGTAGTGTAGGCAGGCAAGTCATTACAAAAGCTCCTAGGTGCCTGACCAAAGGACAGCTCTGGGTCCCACGAAATCCACCTGCCGGTGTGGGAACCTAGAGGCGGGTCACGGTGGGCTCCCATCGGCCGCGCCCGGCGGGGCTGCCCCATCGTCCTCGGCCCGATCAAGGCCGGAGCCGCGACACTGACACCCAACCTGGCTAAGTTAGCTACCTCCCTCTGGGAGCAGGGCGAAGTTCTAGAGAAGCAGCAAGCCTACGAGCTCGAGAGGAAGCCGCCGAGCGGCCAGGGTGCGGGTCTCCCGGAACTCGGAGGCCCAGCCGGACATCCCCGGTCCCCGCCGGGCAGCTGAGCCTCACCAAGGACATGGGGAGCGTAGCCGGAGCTCTGGAGCCAGCAAGCCAAGCCCCGTAGGGCCCAGGGAGGGGAACAAAGGGCCCGAGACGCAGAGGCGACGGCGGACGACCGACCTACCGCGCCGGGGTCCAGCTCCGCGCCCGCCGCCGGACTCGGCGGCCCGGATCCTCGCGCAGGCCCAGCCTGCCGACGGCGCCCAGCGCCCCCGCCTACCCTTACCGCAGGCTCTTACCCTGGCTCGCCGTACCAAACAGCTCCGGTCCAGCTCCAAGCAGGCCGCGGGCAGAGCCTGGCCCGGCCGCGGCCCTCGAGTTCCCAGGAAACCGCAGGCCGCGCAGGTCGAGCCAGGCAGGCGGCACAGGAAAAGCCGTGTCTCGTCCCTCCCCTTCCTCCTCGGGGACCCGGTGACAAGGAAGCGAGAGGTTCCCCCGAGCGGCGGCAGCCAGCGCGGGTCCCGACCCCAGCACGCGGCTCCTCAGACCCTGCGGTTCAAAGCCAGGTCCGCGCGGAGCTGCCGGCGGCAGCGGGGAGAGGCCGCGTCCATCGCCAGCCGGGCGGGGGCAGGAGAAGGGTCGGCCGAGCGCCGGGCGGGGAGGCTGGGGAAGGCCGCGCCGGCGGAGGCGGAGCGAACGCCTCCCGGCCGCCCTGCCCGCGGCCACCTGGGGCGCTGCGGAGGCCGGCCCGCCGCACGGGGCGACGACGGGGGCGCCGGGCTCCCTCGGCGGTCGGCTACCGCTGTCCTCAGCCAGGCCTCCCGGCGCCCGAATCGCCGCGCTGTCAATCCGCGCGCGCCGCCAGCAGCTGGTTCGCGCACGCTCCGCCCGTCTCGCCCAGCGCGGGCCACTCCGGAGTCCTGCGGAACGGAGGCCACCGTCCCCGAGGCGCTCGGCGCTCAGGTCACCCCCCTCCTCTGGAGTTGTAAGGAGTATCACCCAGCTGTTTACCGGAACGCTTCACAGCGAGCCTGGGAACTCGGTGTGCGCTGCCCAGTCGGGCGTTATCGCCTCGGTGCAGATGGGAGAACGGAGGCTGCAGGAACTCGTGCCTCCTGGCTGCCCACCCCGGAGTCCCGGGTAACAGCAGGCACCGAGGGCTTTCAACACATTTGCCTTCGACTTGTGGTCACGAGGACTTCCGTAATTATTCCCGTCAAGCCTTTACTTCATGGACATTGCAAATCAAATGCTCCCGCTGCTAGTGGAGTCCTCATGTAACTGTGACACTAGAGAACTGGAGGCTGGAGTTCAAGGTCATCCTTGGCTACAATGAGGTCCGGACTTGTCTGGGCGACCCGGCTGTGGTGATGGTGGTGATGAAGGAGGTGCAGCAAAAGGAGAGAAAGAGGAAGAAAAAGACTCCTTACTGAACTCTCATTTATTCATCATCTTTCGAACAACAACAAAAAAAAAATACCTAACTTTAGAAAGAAACTGTATACAAAGACCGAGGCTACTAGTTTTCAACCGTAGCAGCACATTAGATTCACCCGGAAAAGTTTTCTTTAGAAGAGTTTTAGATCCACAGCAAATTGGACAGAAAGTACAGAGAATAACTTAGGACTACCTTGTTCGATATAATGTGTTCCTGGCCAGGTAGGGCTAAGGACCGAAAGTTCCCACTACTCATCTCTTTGTTTATGGTTTTTGCCCTTTGCAAACTATCGCGTATAGTTGGAAACATACTATCCATATAGCCCTTCCAGAAGGTCTTTTTAAATTCACTAGCACTCTTTAAGGGTCCTCTGTGACTTTTTATAGTTTGGTAGCTCATTTATTCGCTGTTTTGTTTGGTCGTACTGGATTTTTTTTACTTGGTTTTGTTTTTGCTATTTGTTTTTCTTTTTTGTTTTGAAATAAGAATGCTTATGTAACCCTGGCTGGCCTCAAAGTCAATATCCTCCTGCCTCAGCTTCCTGAATATGCCAACAAGAGTGTATCACACCTGGCCTGGGAGCTCATTTGTTCTTAATGCTGAATAGTAGTAAGTTGTTTAGATGTAACACAATGTGTTTATTCACATACAGATGCCTGGAATCTACCTCGACCGACTATGAATGGCTCACACCTCCGAAGTTTCCAGAGTTCTCCAACAAGAAAAATACTTTCAAACAACTTAGCTAGTTCAGGACTGTTGACAGAACGAATCAAAATTTCTTCAAACCCAAGAGTAAGAAAAACCTTTGATTAAAAATGGTAAAAGACCCGAAGAGACATTTAACCAAGAAGACATACCGGTGGCAAGTAAGCATTTGGCAAGATGCTTAACGTCACCTGTCCTTGAGAAACGGAAGATACTCCCTGCTGGTCTGTTCTTACAGAAGACCTGGGTTTGGTTCCCAGTACCCATATCAGACAGCTTACTATTGTCTCAACTCCAGGTCCAGGGTCACCTGCTGCCTCTGGCCTCCGCGAGCACCTGCATTTACATGCATTTACCCACACACAGATGTGCACATGTGCACATAATGTAAAAGTAATACAGATAAATCTTCGAGGAAAAGAAATTTAAAACTAATACTCTAGAGCTATAGATACAGCTCAGTTAGTAGGGTACTTAACTACTACACACAAGGCCTGAGCTCTATGCCCAGGACTGGATAGAACCAGGCTCTTAAACAGGGTATGGTGGGACAGACTATGATTCCCATCACAGCCCCAAGAGTCAGAAGTTCAAGATCATCCTCAGCTCCATAATGAATTGGGTTCCAGCCTAGAATACATAGAATGATCCTGTCTCAAGAAAGGAAAGGGGAGCAGAGGAGAGGAAGGAACACAATACTTCTAAACATCATTAGAAGGGTGAAACACCAAAGCCGGAGGACACCACACGCTGGAAGAGTGTGATTGAGCCGGAGCTCTCTCTTGGTTCCCATGCAAAGTGACAGTGTGAGATATTTTAGCTGTTTCTTAAAAAAAAAGACTGGTTTTGTGAAAGCAGTGGTGGACAAAGCCAACGACCTAGACCTAGAACTCAGATAACAGCAGCAGGCAGTGACAGGTGCCTGCAGTCCCAGTACCTCCTAAGAGAGATAGGCAGATACAGAAGAATCACCTGGAATCTTACAGACCAGCTATCCAGCTACAGTATGATGCAGGGAAGAAAGAAGGGAGAAAGAAAACCAACTCCCAAAACTCATAGGGATTTGTTTTGTTTTTACTTTACAAGTTGCTTTATTTATGGCACCCACCTTTAATTATGGCACTCAGGAGTCAGAAGCAGGAAGGTCTCTGGCAGTTTGAGGTCAGCCCAGAAAACTATATAATGAGACCCTGTCTCCAACAAAACAAATTTGTTATGTACAAATAACAGGCAACATTCTATCCATAAACTCTTTTTTTTTTTTTTAAGAAAACAGACAATATTTTTAAAAAGGTACCAAGGTTCTTCTGCTTCTAGATTATTGCTGGGCTAGGGAGAAAAAAGGTAGTTGAACCAAAAGCCACAAATATGTATTCTCCAAAACAGGAATAACAAGGTGATGTTTGGGGGCAGCTAAGAGTACTAGCTGCTATCCCAGAGGACTGGGTTTCAATTCCCAGCACCCACACATGGAAGCTCATATCTGTAACTCCAATTCTGGGATATCCTACACCTTCAAACAGACAAGCATGCAGGCAAAACACCAATCAATACACACTAAAAACTTAAAAATAATTTAAAAAGCAGTAAGATGCCCTCAGACCAAATTTATTCAACATCCCACCTGGATGTCCACAGCTGCCTACCAGAGCCGTCAAAACCTGTCAGCATAATTCAGCTGCTCTAACAGTCCACAAACTGAGGCTGCCAAGAAGATATGGTCTTAACCTCCACATGCATACCAGGCACTCACGCACCCACACTGACACATCATTTATACACTAATAATAAATAAATAGATGGGCGAGGTGGTATATGCCTTTACTCTCAGCACACAGGAAGCAAAGGCACTAGTTCACTATGAGTTCAACACCAGCCTGATGCATTCAGTGAGTTCCAGGCTACTCATGGCTACATAGCGAACCCTTATCTCAAAAAATAAAGTATATATAGAGAAAAGATTATATATATAAAGAATATACCTTTACCAGATAATCAGCCACCCTCATTATTTATCCAAAGGAGCTGAAAACTTAAGTCCAATGCTGAAAACTTTTGAGGGGATTTTTTATTTGTTTCATTTTGTTTTTTGAGATCAGGTCTCACTTGGCACATGATGGCCTCCAGTTCACTATGTAGCTGAGGATGACCTGGTCCTCTGGGTCTTTTTCCCACCACCTCCCAAGTACAGGGATCGCAGGCACGGACCACAAGGTGCATACAGATACTTAGAGCTATTTTATTCATAATTGTTAAAATTTAGGAAAAAGACAGAGTCTATCTCAGCATTGGAGCTCTTCTGCTTATTATGTACAAGGCCTTTTGTTCCACAAAATACTAGCAACTAAGACATCCTTTAGTAGGTGAATAAATACATACCCTTCAAAAGCTGACATACCAACATTTCTTCAAGCCCTTATCAATCCATCCATTAGGTACTATTCTCTGGTGTGCCTGTGTAACAGCTGTGACTACCTCAACTTACTCCCGTTTTAGAAATGTGAATTCTAATATGCTTTTATGTAAAAGTTGACAGTATTTACAAAGTGGAATTTAAAAATTAACTGTATAATACAGAATGTATATATTTGTCTCCAAAATTTTAATGGATATCTAGTCAAATACTTTTAATTTTTTATTACATTTACTGATTTAGAGTGCGAGAGAGAGAGAGAGTGTATGTGAATGTCCGTATGTGCCAATGGTATCTGTGTGGAGGTCAGAGGACAATTTGTAGGAGACAGTTCTCTCCTTCTGCCATGTAGGTAGAAGAATCATCGGTCCTGGTGATAAGTGCCTTTACTCACTGAGCCATCTTGCCAGTCCTCAAATACCTGCTTGAAATTCATTTATATCATCGATGAAATCCCAACAACATTTGGGGAACCTTGGTAAAGGCTGAATAGGAATTTTTAAAAATAATTTTTGCAACTTGTGGTTTTATGACAAGGGCTTACTACCTAGAACTTGCTTTGTAGCTAAGCCTGGCCTTGAACTCATGGACATCTGCCTCTCAAATGCTAGGATTACAAGCATAAAACACTAAGCTTAGCTTTTTTTTTTTTTTTTTGCAATTTTGATAAGTCTAAACTTTGTTTCAGAATAAAAAGTTTTTTGATGATAGTAAGTTTATCTTATATTGGCTAATTCTAAGTAATAACTGTCTTCCAGGGATCATCATTGTTTTCCTAAACATTTTTTAAGTGATGCACTTAAAATAAATCCTAGAATATTGATACATTGTTATATGATTCACTATAGCTGCCATATCCCTTGGTAGTAGAGTCAAAAACCAAACAGTAGTTGTAAATGCTAGATACCCTGTGTTCCTAGTCAGTTGTTCCTGTTCCAAGGCTAATAAACTCTTCCATAATTTGCTAACATCCTGTTCCTTTTGTCTTGAGGAAATTTTTTTCTTACCGGTAAATAAGAGGTCTGTTGTCCTGCTTTAGCATACTTAGATGCATGAGTACCATCCAATAAGCTTAGTTAAAGGAAAAGTAGAACCTAATTTGCAAAAGTAAAAATGTACTTCTACAGTAAAAGTAGAAATGAGAAATGTACTACAAAATGTAAAAACTTTTCAGTAACCTTATTTTTATGAAGAATATTATCAATTGCAAAATGTGTGTTGGAGAAGTTGCAGAATTTTTTAAACTTTTTTTCTGGATATACTAAGTGATGACTATTGATTGTTTTCGTCTCAGATAACAATGTCATGGTTTCTCAAAGAATCCTAATCCTAGAGTGCTTGGATAGCTATCACAAACAAGCCTTGAGTTTGATCCCAGCCCTGTGGAAAACCAGGCATCATGGCGAAGGCCCATAACCCTATCTCAAAAA